CTAAAACATTAACTTCTTCCTCGAATGCCAATAGTATCCCGGATTTAAGAGTTTTTGATGAAACATTTGCTCTTGATGTATTTAGGTCAAAATCATTAAAGCCAACAGCTGTAGATGATAAATCCGGTAAGAAATTCAATTAAAACTTAATAAAATTAAATATGACGTTTCAAAAGTGCCTATATAATTATGTGATTTAATACGTGTTAACGTGTCGCGGTGGCCGGGAGGTATAAGACGTCCGTCGCTCATTGGTACACGAGGACGCGGTTTCAAAAACTATCAACGGCAGTACCAATGTGACTATTTCCGAGTTATATGTAGTTTCTAAGGTTATCTAGATACCACTGACGTTTGTCCGTTTGGTGAAGATAATACATGACGAGGAAACCTGGAGTTATAATTTCTAATTACCAACACGCATTGAGCAGGCGTGGTGATTAATGTTCAAACCTTCTCCGTGTGAGATGAGGCTTTGCTCAGCAGTGGGCACTTAAAGGTTGTTGATGATGATGATAATGATGATAATGATGATGATGATGATGAATACTTTTTTACGAATTTCAGAATTCAGTCCGATAACAGGAACACACTATAAATTCATACATTTCGATTCATACTTCGAAAAGTTGTACACCATATTAGGTCTTGTATGAGGCAAAATTTCAAAATAGAATTCAAAGGTGACCAAAGTTGTTTCTCAAAGGCGTTAATAAGAAGATCCTTAACCAAGTTAGCACAGGACAATCTCATCACTTCCTAGTCCATGTGGATACAATTATAGAAGTTTCGAACTTTGGAAGTGTACTTCTAAGTTGGGTGCCTTTGTAAGGAAAATAGTGTTACCTATATCTTGTACACAGGTTTTATTGTAGTGTGTATATTGTATTTTGAAAATAGGTATATTATCTAGAATTCTAGACCAAACGTAGTAAGAAAGATTGGTGTTCCTTTGACCCAAAAGGCGGAATAAATCAGAAGAAAAATCTTGATTTCTTTTCTGTGAATATTTTAGTAGTGGGTTTAAAATCGTGTCTAGTGTCAGCCATTGGACTTATAAATTCTTGAAATTGGACTTTTGGTATAATACGTACCTATACATCTTTGTCTTTATATCTATGTTTGTTTCGGCATATCTTCTCAGAAAAGTCAGTTAGGAAATATTGGGCTCATCGTTCGCGTAATAAAATTCACGTGTAAAAGTGCTACCTTGTAGCCAATTTTCAAAAATATATGCACTCATTTCACCTGTTCCAGTTTGTCTAGAACAATTCCTATGTTATGCTATGAATTTGTAGGTAATAATTAGTAGAACATACAATCCTCTTACCTTTACAAAATTTAAATGTCAACCTTCATAATATGTAAACAGACTTGATTGATAGAGTTTCTCTGTCTGTCTTTGTGGTGACAATCTCATGCATAACAAGTAGAATGCGTTCGTCATAACAATACCGCCATAGGTGAAGTTTCTAAGACAGTTTCGTGAGTGAATGTAGAATTACAGTTTAATATTGTTGTGTCCGTCTTGTTGCGGTTGTTGCTCAAGTCGTCTGAAGTGCTACGACTATTGAGTCGTAGTACTGTGCGTAGGTACTGTGTAAGTCAGGCGATAATAACATTATTTTTATCATGAGTTTCATAAGGAATGCCTCTATAGGCCTATGACTACGTCTGTCGTAGTCCTATGACTACGACATTTGGCAGAGACACAAGGACGTTAAAAAAGGCGGACACAGTCTCCTGAAACGACGACTGTGGCACCTGATTACTATAGAGTTACAAGCAGAGCATACACACATTGACACGAAGGACATCTGTCAGTTTCTTAAGTCTGCTAACGTGGTAACCTATTGCACACGCACACATAAATAAGTCACTGACATTTTGGTGCTGCAATCTAAGTGACATTATTGTCGGAATACTCAAACGCTACTCAATTTTAAGTGGTGCTTAAGTATAGTTCTGTCTCTACACATTCTTTGTAAAATGACAGAGATGGCACGATATTTAAGCACGACTTAAAATTGAGTAACGTTTCAACATTCCGGCATATGTCCGTCTTTTTCAATGTCCTTACAGAGACCGGTAACAGTGCGACAACTCTCAGATAGAACCTTTTACTACGATCTTCAACCCTTCAAATTATTAAACAAATCTTCTCGTGTAAAGAAAATTAATTATTCACCAGTAGCCTGAAACAAGTTGTCGATGATAACTGACTGTATTTTCGTTATTTCTATATGTATTGAGAATTGACTGAACTTCTCAGCAACAGCATAGAATTTGAAATTGTTTGTCACAATAAACTCAGACGTAAAAAGTTAATTATTTCACCTGTTATGTTTTGAGTTACAATACTTAAATACGGCCACCTCTACTCAACCCTTTAAATACTAAAAGGCGTATATTGTACTGACATGACACCCACAGAATACGGTGGGAGTGACATATAACTTGGGGATCTCTAAGAATGGACACCCACCGTATAATTTATCTAAGTGCTTGTTTAAGTCTTTGGTTGTTAATAACAGAGTTATAATTGCATTTCTGTATGTGAAGCTATAAATAAGTGTATTGTGTAGAAGTCAAATAGACCAACAACCAGAATAACTTTAAGTCGAAAGTCAAATAATTTTATTTTAATTAATGATCTACAACATAGGTACTTTGTCTTGCCAATATACAGTATGTTAGGTTAAACGAGGGACATATTCAAACCCATAATAGTGTATACTCACATGAACCTAACAAACATATAAACGAAACGAAAACACTTATAAATAACAGACAGAACCATAAAAACGCTTCCGCTTACGCTTACGGGTTTCGGCTTAGCGGGCTTAAGCGCGCTCTATTCTTTTTGGCAAGATCGGCGCATGATTTGCAACGCCAGTTACTTTATGTAAATACTGTTTCTGTTTACAAGTTCACTTGTTGCGCGCTCAGTGTTGATGATGATGTATTTTATTAGACAATTACCTCAAAAATTTTGGTTATAGGTTTTTTACATATTCGGAACGAGAATCGAATACTGAATACCCTCCCTCAATAAGTCCCTCGTTTAACTTAACACACTGTATATGTAGCTTTAAAACCTCGAATCAAAGAGTGATAAACAATTCATTAGTAAACACACACAAGTCAGTTGATTTTGATTTTAATTTTTGATGTTAATTTGATTTAATTTTAGTTTCATATTCTATTGCAGTGTTTTCTTTTCCCCTAAAAAATCTATTGCTAATTTATTCATGTAAATTAATGCAACTTAATTTGATTTTTACCCGACATTTTTTATTCTAATTTTGGATCCATTAATTGATTTTTTTTTCTTAAAAATGCGGTGCTCGCCTGTAGGTAATCGATTATAACATTTTACTGTTATATTATTCAAAAGTTTATTGTTTAATCTACTAATGTATACAATTGTTGGTGGGCCAATAAAGATAACTAAAATAAAAAAACTGCTCATCGCAAAATATAAATTCGTAAGGACAAGAATGAGTAAAACAATTCCATCGTTCCTGATTTAAAAAATCATGTTATTACAAAGTTATTACAGTCTCAAGGCTACATCGTTCACATTTTTATGGAATTTGAAATGAAAAAGATCCCTACTCTAAACTGTGAATGTACTTTGAATTTATTTCCCCCACTACATAGTCTCTACCTATACGAAGAAGTGAACATTTTTTGTGAAACATTTTTGAAATGCCAAAAGGGTAACTGACGGACTGTCGAGTCCATATGTACGTAAGTAACACGTATGTACGTGTTACTGCTATTCCCCGTTTGTGTTCGAAAATATTCACTAGCTGCTATCGAAAACTATTGGCATTTTAGAATTTAGAAATGGTTTTTAGAGAACATCTAAAATAACGAAGCACAACCTTCGAACTTTGTCAAATAAAGACCTTCACCAAACATGGATCGAATCTACCTGTAACTCTGTAACCAAACAGTATGTAACACCCACTTTTCACTATTTATATTATGAGTCATGTTATAGGGGGTGAGCCTACTACCATATACCGGGCACATTTTCAGACTCCGTGCTAATACTGAGAATTTCTTAAAAAAACCCAGTAATACTTTGTCCGACCCAGGAATAGAACCCTAGACCCCTTGCCCGGCTGTCGCACTTACGACCAACGAGGCCAACGAGGCAGTATTGTAAAGAAAGTATTCAAAACCATTGAATGTGGTGAATGTAAATGAAGAATGAAAGTATGTCTTTGTAAAAGCCCTCAGTAACTTGGCGTGGCACTGAATTTCAATAAGGTAGACGTTTTGTATCCTTTACAATTACATTTTGAATATAATATTTCTAACAGTACTAATGCAATTTGCAGTTCCTCTTCTCTATGTGTTCTTTTATACTCTTTCTTTGACTATATTGTTCGAAAGGTCGCCTTGAAAGAATGTGGCTTTTTAATATTGTAACAGTTTGAGTCTGAAAAGCTATATAATGTGTATGCTTAGGTACTACTCTCTAAAAATTCGTACGTGTCTAGTATTAAACTGGATAATTGTTTGGAAACTTTCAGGGCTCTGTCCAAATGTTGACAGCCAATGTAATTTATGCTAGTACTCACGGCCACACATCAATCTATACAAAACCAGTTTATAAATAGTGGTCGTTGTAATGTGTAACACGTGCCTTTTTAATCGGACTAACGTTACCGTACAAGAAGGGGATCTATCCCAAAATAATATTGGCAAGAGATTCTTTTAGGATCACATAGAAAATCCCTTTGCATACATATCGAAATATTAACCCCAAAAGCGCAAAAATCTTCCGGACAATCCACTTGACATAGTTGTTTTTTTAACCCGGCGAGGATGTGGTGAAAATAGTAACGTGGAGGTTGTGGAGGGTCTTATTGACCCTGTATATAATTGGCTTTAAAACATCTAAATTTATATTAATGTTCCAAATATCAATTAATATTATTTATGTTACATGTTATTTTTACGGTTTTATCGAAATAAAACGCAGATAAGAGTACAAAATAATATAATTAAATCACTTTTAACAAAGTACTACAAAATAATCAACTTTTACATAAACTTTCTAAACTTACACTAAAAACAACAAAAAGGAACTTCCTTCTTAGACGATTAACTTTTAATTTGGTACATACGTAAAGGTCAATTAGTTGCACTTACAATCTTATCATCAAATTATAAATTACAAATCATTATTGTCTATGATTGCAACACAACCTCGGCAGAATGAAATAGTGTGTTCTGGACAAATATACTTATGGCAATCTTCACAAATATTGGCTGTCTTGCGATGGCGGGCATAAGGACGTACTTGGCACCTTTTTCGTACACCTGGAACCCTAACAGGACCTTCTTGTTCAGGTTCTCCGATGAATTCTCTGAGTCTCTTGCGTAGCTGTCTCGGCAATTGAGGTGTTTCTTTGCGGCCTTGCAAGTGTTCAGTAACCTGGCTATCCGATTCCTCTTCTTCTGACATATGTGGATAATGATGTTGCAATTCAAATAGTCGTACGTTATCCTCGCCATCACTGCTTGCATTTTGCTCAGTATCACTATTTTGACTTCGCGTACGCAAATGATCTTCCTTTTCGCTACCGTCGGATAACTAGTCATCTTCACTGTCAGACTGCATTAAAACAAGACGTATGCGTTCATCCTCAAGCTCCGGGCTATTCATTGTGTACGAAAAACCTAAAATTAAGTAAAAAATATAATTGAAACTATACATAAAAATGTTACATCGCGGTTGTCGCAGGGTCATATTTACCCTATTTGACTGCACGCACGTGTTGCACCCGTCGCAGGCGGCGGCCATCTGAACAGGGGTGCGGGGCGTGCGCGCCGGTCCTTTAGCAATAGCTATTGTGACGTTCAAAACTCTTCGATCGCAGAATAAAAAACTACACACGATTAAAAATTGACAGGGTCAAAATGACCCCTCCACATCCTCGAAGGGTTAACTGAGTATACATTTTCTGTTATTAGTAATGCGACCGTGAAATGCAACAATGATCTCTTAAATCTTAAGAAAATAATAGTTAAAATTATGTTTACCAGATCAAAATTTTAAAATTTTTTCTTTATAATAAATGGGCTTGACGTTTGACCACTATTTCGCCTGTTGTCAAGCGATGATGTGGCCTACGATGGAGCACGTCGACCCATAAGCAACCTATTCAGTCGGGCCTTGAAGCCACCCAGGAAATACAGATTCTAAATGATAAATGATCATTCACGCAAAGAAATCACGCCTTATTCTGACAATAACATCTATGACAGATAATAATCAATAATTACCAACTCTAATGAGATCTAAAGAATTGTCAGCTAATCCATAAATAAACAAATCGAGGAAAAAAGAGAGCTTTAGGGAAAAATCTTGGTCCTCAGTCAAGAAGTCAACATTTCCATTCCATTCAAAAACCAGCAATAATTTCAAGGTAGGTAATCACTTTTTTGCGTGTCAAATAATGGGCGATGCTCTTCCCTCAGACGAAAGTGTCGCATGTCCAATTTTCATGATTATGTACTTAAAAACGTTTACGATGCATTAGGAAAAGAGATTGGGGTGCTCCAAAATGCTTCTGCTTCAAAATGGCTGCGGTATTTGAACTTTGTTTTTTTGTTTCCGAATGATTTTGTGCAGTTTCGTTGACAGGCAATTGTTGATTATTCTAAAGTTCTAATTTTAGTGAAATCGGATTTAGTTCCCAGATTAGATATATATCAGTTCCTATATTGACCTTTTCCGTTCCTATATTCCTTAACAGTAAGTTTTGTACACCATTCTATTTATTTGACAATGTGACCATACACAAATCTAACGCATGTCACATAAAAAACATGGGTGAACTAAAACGAACACTATTGACGTATGATAAGCTACAGCCATTTTGAATTTTTATTTAAAACAAGCCTCAACACAGTGACTACAAATGAAAAGGTTATATAAATAATAAACAAGAAACCTAAAGACTAGAAACATTGCTTTATCAGAGTGAACAGTTATTCCCACTGCCCCATTATTACTCCTTTTAGCAACAGGCTAAATTAATATCCAAGTATTTTCTTACACTACCTGCCTTGTACCTCCAACTCCAATTAAAATGATTAATTCTCTACAATGGAAACCACAATTATAAAGTATAAACGATGAAAGTATAATAATTACTGCGAATCCGTCCACGTTCTGATTTTGTATAAAGCAATGTTATGAATAAGAAAATTTAAAGCAATGGATAAATATTTTTGGTACATCACAATATTTCTGTTATATATAATTCAATGTTTTTGTACTATAGTTATTTACCTCTTGCAATAAAAGGCGATCTTAATAAAAACCAACTAATTCAAAAACAGTTTTATAAACATTAACCAGATATTTACTAAACCAAAGAGATAATCTAATGAGTAAAGCAAAATTATTTATTTAGCAAGGTAGGCTCTAGATTCTAGAAGAAGCTGGCATTTCATTTTCATCTACTCTGAGAAGAAACATCAAAACAAAATCAGAGGTAAGAGTCTCTTTAAAAATCCAGACAACACTAAGTGAAACAGACAATGTTATAATGAAGGATACCTTAAATAAAAGAGAAAATGTCAATATGCAACACTGAAGTGAGTGAAACAAGTGAACTTATTTCTGCAAATAGGCTACAAGGCAGCACTTTTAAATGTCAATTTTATCAAGCGAATGATGAGGCCGACATTTCCTAACTGACTACTCTGAGAAGAAATGTCGAAACAAACTCAGAGGTCCGTCTCTATTAAAGTCCAGACAAATATGTATAAAAAATTATGTGTGAGAACCGTACAAGTTCTTTCTGTAGTGGCCTTGTGAGGAAAGAACCACAACAGTTTGGGCGGACCCGTTCTGAAGGCAGTACGCATGTGTCGGTTTACAATCAGCCCAATTAACAAATGAGGCTGACTGATACCACGAACAATACCAACCTAAAGAACATTTCGTTGGTTATAAAAACAATTACTAGAAACAATATCATAACATCACAGAAAGATTTAATTAAAAACAAAAGGTCAGCAGATACAAAAATAGAACTAGAAAAGGATATCAATAGATTAACTATAGATTATCTATTTCCATAAGTAACTAAGCAGATTAATAATCCAATAATCGTAAGTGCTGTTAGTTTGGTTAATTTATTCTTGTCACCTGTCAGTGAGATCCTTCCACATATTGTTGGAACGAGGGAACATTTTGATTGAAGTGGTCGGGTTATAGTTAGGCTTTAGGACCTTATTGGCGTGTATTGATTTTGGGGTACCATGACGCATATCAATGATGTGGGCTAGTGTGAAGGGAAAGATAGTTCGATGTATTATTGTAATTGTTCATTTATACTTAATGATCTGTATATTTTCTATTGCTATCCTTCACCGGTTATATTATTAACTGGTAAAGAATTATCCAGTTATTATGTTCTATTTTCACGTCCTTCATTATCTTAGTCTTTCGCATCTACATACAACAGATTCATTTCAATATTATTATATCCCATTAATTGACTGTCATGACACCCCTTGTTAGATTTTTGAGTTCATCTAAATACCTTCATCGCCTTTTAAAAAATTACGTCTAACCGACTTCAACCCCTCTTTTTTGGATGAAAATTGGAACCAAATCAGTTCAGCCCACACAGAGAACCTCCTAGTCTTATTCTGAAGTCGGTTAAAAATGGGTTGTGTTTATCATTACTACATACTGTGTTTACTGTTTATCATTATAACGTTACTATTAATACTATACTACGAATATGTGAAAGTAGGTCTTGATTTTACAAAAGATTAACCCATCCGCAGAATTCAAAACAACGTTGCTTCGAATTTTAATGCAAAACAAACATCAGCTTTTTATGACATTTATGGCATCGAACGCCGGTTGACACCACAGTGAAGTATGCGATTACGATAAACTATCGTTAGTTAAACCAACATGTTTATATTAACGGTTGGTTGCACCATATAATGAACGATTCGAGTGTCGCGCTAATTACGCGATTTGTTGAACTGTTAACGTTATTATCGGTTTTATCATAACTTATCGTTAGCGATTGTGGTGCCATCTTGCCATGCGGAATATCAGTGTTCGCGGGTGTATGTTATTTTAATAATATCTCGGTAAGGTGGCGTTTCTAGGAAGCGGTTGTAAATAGATATTCAAATGTATTTACTGGTTTGTTTACTTGGAGTGCTACCCACTTAGGACCGTTGCTTTGAAGAATATTGAATGTGGGTACTGTCGAATTGATCATGGTTTGATCGAAGCTTGATGGTTTCATCTGACGTTTTTAAATGTATTTCGAATACTTATTTCGGGCATTGCTTATGTTTACTTACTTGACGAAGTATAGACTCAAAGGTCTACCGATATTTTTTTTAATATATATATATATAGACAATATTTGTAGAGTTTTTAAGTCAAATTAGTACGCTAATACTATTCGAACTCCAGAGCAGAGACTCCATAGAAGAGTTTTGGATAGAAACAGATATACGTGTTACTAGACAAAATCCATAGAATATAGTAACACGAAGTATCACACAGTAACGTAACACGAACAGAAACAATTAGCTTCCATCCTCATATAAAGTTTCTTGATTGTACTGAAATATGAAATTGGTATAAGTACGAACTGCTTGTAACATGTAAATTGTACTGTAATTTCGACAATTAACTTCTTGATGAAACTTGATGCATCTGCGTTCCTTGTTATTGCTCTGAATTTGAGCATTTCTCTTTCCCCTATTTCATAAGTTAGAGTATGCCAATATTTTATTCATGAACTCACTCTATTCTTTATTATAACCTCAACAATACTCATAACAATAACCCTAGTTTATGATAGTATAAAAAAGTTTGTAGACAACTGTTTTACTGGACTTTTCTTAGGACATTAACTTTGATATTCGCTGTAGTATTGAATTTACATAAAAAAAGTTAGCTTCTTTGGAATTTGGGGTTCTAGAATTTGAACAAATTCACCCCAAATGAATACCTAAGATTTATTTATAGAATTAACTGTAAGGCCAGCGAAGTTATAAAAGGATTCTCGAACTTCAAATGATAATTGAAACAAATCCAAAGAATTTCGTAACACCCCTTTGATACGGAACGATTAATCGTATCTTGGCCGTGTTGAGTAGAGTTGTGAGCACGATTGTTATATCGTTATCGATATATTGGCAGGATTGACCGCCGCGACGTTGCGGATGGAGACCGCGTCGATCCGGACTTGTTAAATCGCGCTGTGCGGCTCCTCGTGCTACAGAAATTAGACAACATTTACTCCTACCACACCCGACCAAGGTACGATAATCGATGTTTCTCTGGCATCATCGATAATTCAGCGCACGTTCGTATTGATGTACGTATTTCCTGCATGCCTTACCCCCCTGATTGTTAGTTTGTTAGAGGGAACGTTTCCCTAATTTCGGAAAAAACTATTATGTATCGACAATAAATGTTTTCATGAATATTGATGGCGTATCCCCCTATATAATACTTCTTTAGGTCGGTATAGTTGATTGGTAAACGAGTATGTGGGTCGAGAAATGAAATAGTAATTTAGGATTAGAGTCAGGTCGTTCATTTATGAGTGTTCGGTAACTAGTCTGAATTGAGGGAACATTATACCTACCTATTAGTTTCTTATCTTAAATATCTTGTTTATTGCCTATAAACGCAGTCTCTATAGAATTTCGTATTTCAACTAAGTATTACAACAATTTTTAACTAAGTTTACGGAAGGTAAAAAACCTTTGTCAATCAAACCATCATATTAGGTTAAGATTGTAGTATCGCTATTGTATAATAATGTATGTTAATGTTATCCGCAGTTACCTGCACACATCGTAAAGAAGGGAATACAACCCTTATCATTCTGCCACCTTCTATATATCCAGATACTAAAGTCTTTTTTTATATTAGATGGGACTGACGTTTGACCACTATCTCGCCTGTTGGTAAGCGATGATGTGGCCTACGATGGAGCTTGGTGACGTGAAAGATAGATTATCAAACATACTTTGGAATGAACTAAAAGTTACGAGTTACTGATGTAAATTTAATGTACTGAGAAAAGGTCTACCAGTTTTCCGTTTTCCTGCGCAACATCGCCGCGACTGCGTTCGCTACTCACGAGGAAGAGTCTTTCAGTGACTCGAAACTAGTAGAGATCTTCTCAGTGTAGGTATTTACGTGAATAACTCGAATAATTTAGTAAATTCACTATCTCACGATATCAATTATTCTGTTTCATTTTTATATATAATATAGATAGGGCAATTGAGTTATACGTAGATTTATTTCACTGGTCTCTCAGTTATAATACCTAACGTAGGTACTTACTTGTGGTGTTTAGCTTGATGTGATTCGATTAAGCTGACGATTAGTCTTATAGGGTTACGTACAATACCGTCTTAAGCACAAGGGCACTCGGGGTCCGTGCCCAAAGCCCCCATCCTCAGGGGACCCCGAAGAACCGACAATTTCTACGACTTACTCACACCCGCTACTCGTTGCGTGGCAACTGGCTGCCCCGCAACGTGTACTGGATTCGATTCCCGTACGGAGCAAATCTTTGTGTGAACCACAAATTTTGTTTTCGTGTCTGAGTGTTATGTGTATGTGAACTTGTATGTTTGTAAATTCACCAACGAAACAGCAGATAATCTTAGTACCGATAACGATACAGGAGAAAAGTTCCACAAGGGCCCGAATAATTGGGATGATGACAGGGTATGAAAATTAAAAATCTGATTAGTCCGTAAGTTAGGTAATGAAAAAATATTAGACACGTATTTTTTTTATTTTGTCGTATAATAAAACAATACTTAGATAAAACGAATCAAAGTTTAGGTGTGGGGGCTAAAACGTCATTTCCTATAAAATGTACATAGAAGTGACGTCACGTGACATTTCAAATCAATATAACGTCGAAAGTATTGGTTTCTGTAAGAAAATAAAACAAAACGTGTCTAATGATTAATTAAAATAATCTACCAGACGGACATTAAAATAAAAAACAGGCATCTACCATATTGTGTGCGAAGGGCCCTAGCGTAGTCTAAGACGGCCCTAGTTACGTATAAGATGATTTGCCAAAGAAGCACTAAATTATATGTCGTTACTACTTTGTTATTTGTTAAAACATGCTTTATTTGTTTGTATTATCATATTCTGTCCTATACTATACACGTTTATAAGGAAAATTGTACTGTTGTCATTCGTTTTATTCAAGCAAATATCGCTTTTGTATTTCTTAAAAATATAAATGTGCTTTTGGTGTAAAAACATAAAACATATCTCTAAAAATAAGTCATCTGTAATGTTAATTTTGTTATTTTACAAAATAAGAAGTAAGTTATATTTAATCTAAAAAGCTGGCCAAGGTTAAGTCAGACTCGCGTACAAATAGTTCCATAGCATTATTTTCAGAAATGAAAGGATAAATCTTATGTTTTTGTTATGGATGATATCGGAAAACTTCAACTGTTTTAGTATCACGTTTTGGAAATACATAACATAACGTAACATCATGCCTTTTATCCCCCAAGGGATAGGCAGAGGTGCACATTATGTCACTGTACAATGTAACACCCACTTTTCACGAAGGGTGGACAATGTGAGAATTTTTAAAAACCCAGTAATACTTTGCCTTGCCCGACCCGGTAATCGAACCTGAGACCCCTGAGCGGCAGTCACACTTGCGACCACTCGGCCAACAAGGCAGATTTTAAAATACTTTCATTGTAAAGACTGGTATAGACACAGACGGACTGTGGAGTTTTAATAACAGGGTTTCGTTTCTACCCTTTGTGTACGGAACCTTAAAAAACCTTACCGAATAGAATACGAAGCATTATCGTAAAAGCACGAACGAGAGTAGGTACACACGGCCACACATCAACCTATACAAAACCAGTTTATCCTGGTGTCGCGTCGCATCATCTTTCCGCACATTTAACATTCAGTTTATACTGGTTATGTAAAGCTCGATGTGTAGCCGTATGTACCTACATATATTTCATATCTTTTACCTTTTGTAAAAAGATTTCTTTATTTTTTTTACAAAACTTTTATGTCTCATATAAGTAATATGTTAAGTTAAAAAGGAAGGGTTGTTTTAGCTATTTTGTTCTTTTTTGTATATCATACCTTTTTGAATCGTGGATTTGTGGGGAAGCTATTTTTACAATACCTATTTGTTTTTATAACTTTTTAAACTATTAATATTATCCGAAACACTAAAATCTTGGCTGATCAAAATTGATATGATTGAATAGTATTATTGATGATGAATTGATTGATACGTAGGTACACATATTTGGTGACTAGCTTCATTAAACTTAATTTTGTAGAAATTCGTATATGAAAGTAAGTTTTATGATAATTCATACAACATTATACTTTAGTAACTACTGCTGTAAGGTAAATTTAAAAGACATAGAGGTACACTATTGACAAAATTTTCATTTTGATATGATCAACACAAAAACATGAATGACAAAATACCTTTAACTTGCAATTTCTCCCGATTATAACGATGTAAAATAACCAATAGTGTCAATCAAATCTCACAAAGGCATATTCTACCTATCACAACCATCAAAGAGAAATTTTCGGAGTAAATCAAAATTCAAAATTTGTTGCAATTTCATCAAAAGAGAGTTGCTGTTTCTGACAGACTTTGACGATGGTTTCCAAAAAGGCCACGACAATAAAATGCACAGGTCGACGGGGGTTTTTGCATTAAACCGACATGTTTACTCACATTCTGGTTTCGCATGTTTCAGCGTAAAGTTTCATTATTTTTTTACTGCAACGTGGTCTTTATGTCTAACGTGTCAAGATATATTTTTGAGTTGATTTGTTTTATGTTGTCGTTGTTGTCAGGTAACGTATTAAAGTGAAGTTGATATTTTTTATAAAAAGGGTCGTTTTAATTATACGCATAAATGTATGTATCTCTCAATGTTTTATTTTTATTTTATTTTTTATAACATAAGCCGGTAAACGAGCAGACGGATCACCTGATGGTAAGCAATCGGCACCGCCCATGGACACTCGAACCACCAAGGCGTTACAAGTGCGTTACCGGCATTTTGGGAATTTGAGGATTGTGGAGGATTCAGGGATTCGGGAGACGGGGGACGGGAACTAGGGAGAGGGGTAATTGGGCCTCCGGTAACCTCACTCACACGACGAAACACAACGCAAGCGTTGTTTCACGTTGATTTTCTGTGAGGCCGTGGTATCAGTCCGGTCGAGCCGGCCCATTCGTGCCGAAGTATGGCTCTCCCACACTTAACTTATTTTTACATACATTACCTATATGAATTTAGTCAAGAATATCTGGACCTAAAGTTTCAGTATCCAGTAACAAAACATTTATAAAATGACCATGATTTGGAAATCTATATAATTATAAAGAAAACAAAACCCATTTCCCGTTGTCACGCCATAACTTGAGAACGGCTACACCGATTTGGCTGATTTTTTTTTTGTTGTTATTATTGTCAGGAGTAGGTTCTTATGATTCTACAGGAACGGGAGAAAACGGGATAGCGCGTACGAAGTCGCGGGCAGAACCTAGTGTTCAATAAAATAAAATAGTTTACGTATTTGTCTATGTATTTACACAGTTTAAAAATATTTTAAATTATTTAATTTGTCCACAGGTTCGGGAAGCGTTCTGATGCCTACACGAACTGGGCCAAGGATCTTGAGGTGAGTTTCATTTATCATAAAAAACACATGAATATACACACCCTTTTCTTTTCATACTACATATACCTACCTACATAGGTGATATAGCTATATAGTGATATTCTTATATGTTCTACAAACTACAGATCACAAAAAATCTATCTAATTCTTTAAGGATTCATTTACCACCTGCCTACCGACTGCCTCGTTGGCCGAGTGGTCGCATGTGCGACTGCCGGGCAAGGGGTCTCGGGTTCCATTCCCGGGTCGGGCAAAGTACTACTGGGTTTTTTTAAATTTCAGCAGTAGCTCGGAGTCTGGAATTGTGCCCGTTTTATGGCAATAGGCTCACCTCACCCCCTAATACAGGGGACTCATAACATAAATAGTGAAAAGTGGGTGTTACTTTGTACAGTGGTATAATGTGCACCTCTGCCTACCCCTTCGGGTATAAAAGGCGTGATGTTATGTTATCTTTTGTAAACTAGGACAAAAGATTCTATCCATGTATTATTGGTCAGTTTCACATACACAAAGAAATATATACATTACGACACATAATGCCACTGCACAATGTAACACCCACTTTTCACTATTTATGTTATGAGTTCCATGTAATAGAGAGTGACTCTATTGCCATTATACCAGGCAAAATTCTAGACCCGTGCTACGACAGAGATTTTTTTTAAAAAACCCACTCATACTTCGCCTTACCTGAAGCGAACCCGAGACTCCTTGCCCGGCAGTAGTAGCACTAGCGACCACTCGGCCAAAGAAGCAGAATTATCTCAGACGGAAAAGAAATTGAATTAGAAAAATAATACTCTATGTATTTTATAGTAAAACTAGACAGGTACTTAATAAAACGTATATAAATTTAATTTAAAATTATAAGGACCTAAGTATCAAAATATAATTTCAGTTATCTTGAAACTCAAGAGTAATTAGAACAATATTTACCAAATTACCTTTCATAAGAAATAGTTATCCAATTTACTTTTTGCCTTTGTAACTTGTTTTTTAATTGCTTGAGTAGATAATCTAATAACTGTGGGACTGTGGAACTGTGTTTGTGCTAAGTGTTGGAGAGCCATGCTTCGGCACGAATGGGCCGGCTCGACCGGAGTGATACCACGGCCTCACAAAAAACCGATGTGAAGCAACGCTTGCGTTGTGTTTCGTCGTGTGAGTGAGGTTACCGGAGGCCCAATTACCCTCCCCTTTCCCAATCTCCCCATTTCCTGAATCACCAACGATCCTCAAACTCCTAATCCCCAAAAAGCCGGTAACGGTAAGGTGATCCGTCTGCTCGTTTACCGGCTTATACCATAAAAAAAAATCATGATTACAGATTACATTAGAGGTAAATAAATGTAAAAAGTAGTTAAACATTTTGTTTACTAACTAATAATCAGTAGTTACAACTACTAGATTCCAATAGTCAAATTAATAACTACTTCATGTAGTTACTTAACATTAGTTAAGTTACAGACAACATTTAATCATAACTACATGTAGTTAACTACTTACTTTTAATCCTAGTTATTAATCAGATCACAAAATAGTAGGTAACTACAACACTGCAGATGCCACAGTCGTTGTTTCAAGAGACTATGTTCGCCTTTTTTCAAGGTCCGATTGACACAACCTATAACGTCACTATAATTAATCTGTCTAAATATTAACTTTGAGGTACGTACAGAGGTCTTAGTACGAGTTTGTTTTAAGTTTAAAGTCCTAATCGTAACGAGTACGCATTCGGCGCTCTGATTGGTTGCTTCATTGGCGCCGGCCAATCAGAGTGCCGAACGCGTACTCGTTTCGAATACTTTAAACGTAAAACAAACTCGTATTAAGGCCTCTGTACACATATTTTTACTTAACTAAGTTCTAAGACAAGTTATTTTTAGTTATACACTATCATCATAAGACTGCTGCCGTGAACCACCACTAAACACAAGCCCTCCCCTTATGTAGATCCAAAAATCATTTTTACATTTTCATTTTTCAACCCCAAATTGGGTTCTAAGAATTTCAAATCCATAACCAATTTTACTTGACCCGTCCTGGTCATTGAACCCTATATCTTTTGACGTTACCCTTTTGAATATCAGACAAATACGGTAACCATTATAAAACATACAAATCTTTTGTGCGACTGCAAGGGGTCTTGGGTTCAATTCCCGGGTCGGGCAAAGTATTACTGGGTTTTTATATATTCTCAGTAGTAGCACGGAGTCTGGAATCGTGCCCGGTATATGGCAATAGGCTCACCCCGTATTACATGGGACTCATAACATACATAGTGAAAAGTGGGTGTTACATTGTACCTACAGTGGTATAATGTGCACCTCTGCCTACCCCATCGGAGATCATGGCAATGAAAAGGCGTGATGTTATTGTTATCTTTTGTAAAGTAGGACAAAAGATTTTTACTTCAAATATATCTATCCATGTATTATTGGTCAGTTTCACATACACAAAGAAATATAAGTACAACAATAAATATGAAACCAAAGACCCGTAATAATAAGGTTGTTTATCATTTGAACCCACGGTCGTAGAAATCTTTCATTGTTTTAATTATGTTTGGTAAACAAATTCCTTGTTATCAACCAAATGTTTGATAACAAAAAACCTATCTGTGTTACACCAGAAATAGCGATATATATAAACATTTGCGACGTATCTAAATGTACTAGGAATTTTCTATTTTTACTACTTGAATAATAGGGGCCAAATGACGTAAATAGTACCTGAATAAGAGTGTTTTAATCATTTGGGGTATGATACCCCAAAAATGTATTGTTTTGCTCTTGTGGATAGACGGATCACCTGATGATAAGCAATTAGCGGCGCCTATGACCACTCAAACAGCAACACTAGACATACCACAGGAGCATTATGTCAATGCCTCAATACGTAGCTCCTTAATTTAAAAGATAACATGGCTGTCTAAAATAGGGTAATTTCCTAAATTTTATCTTAATGTCCGTCTAGTACATTAATTTAAAACTTTAGACACGTATTTTTTCTTTTCTCACAAAATGAAATACTTTCGACGATACATAAATTTGAAATATCATGTGACGTCACAGCGTGCCACATTTTGTAGCACGTTATGACGTAACGACCTCCCATTCCTAAACTTAGCGCCATTTTATCTAAGTATTGCAACTTAATACGAGAAAATAAAAAAATATGTGTCTAATATTTTTTCATTATCTAACTAACGGACTAATTAGATTTTTAATTTTGATACCCTGGAAACTATCTAGTTGCCAAGGCAGAAAACGCCTACATTACAAAATGATGGCTGTCATACCATTGTTTCATTGGAAATACCAATAACCATAAAAATAGCAATTCCATTACACTCATCTTTCATGTAGGTGGTGCATCATATCGATACGTCATATTTTCATACTTCTTTAGGAAAATGTCACCTGCGTTCGACAATAGTTTTAACACCCCTGCTCTGTAGGTGTATAGGAAACATTATTGAATAACAAAATATAATAAACAAGTATAACTGCATGGTTGGTGCGGTGGCTGGGCAACCGGCTGCCGTGCAACGTGCCGGGGGTTCGATTCCCGCACGGAGCAACACTTTGTGTGATCCACAAATTGTTGTTTCGGGTCTGGATGTCATTGTGTATGTGAACTTGTATGTTTGTACAACCTACGACACAGGAGAAAGAGTTTTTTTTTCAAGTAAGTTAAGTAAATAACATCTGTTTTCCTCCAAAAATGTATTTTTGCATAGTGATAGCAGAAACACTATTTATTATAGCAATTTCTCCTGAATTGTGGGAGGATTTAATAATACACAATTACACACACACACACACATATGAATTGAATCCAGACCCAAAACAACAATGAAAAATTATTGTTCCGTGCGCAAATCAAGCCCTCGGTAACCCAGCTACTTCGTACACCGTGAAAACAGTTTAATTTTATTAAAATCATAAATTCTAATTTCCTAAAGGAACACTTTAATCATCACATCAGCCTATAAGTGGCCAGTGTTGACCAAAGGCCTCTTTCCACACGGAGAAGCCATGCTAGCTCACGGCATGGAAATTTTATACTGTTTTTTTTTTTTTAACCTTGCCCCACACTAGGATTATCTCCTGTGTCGTGGGTGCGTTTACAAACATACAAGTTCACATACACATGACACCCAGACCCGAAACAACAATTTATGGATCGCACAAAGTGTTGTTCCGTGCGGGAATTGAACCCGCGACACGTTGCACGGCAGCCGGTTGCCCAGCCACCGCACCAACCGTGCACTCAATATAATTTCTTATAAGCTTAGGTTTCCTCACGATGTTTTCCTTCACCGTTTGTCAATGGTGTCTAAATAATCTTAGAAAGTACCTACATATTATAACTCGGAAAAAGTCATATTGGTACATCACATGCATGAGAAGCAGGCGTCTTAAACCTCCGCGCCACCACGTCATTAGGCAAGGAACACTTTTATAACCATCATTTTAGAGTTAGTTAAACAACATACATAACATCACGCCTTTTATCCCCGAAGGGGTAAACGGACATTTTGCCACTATACAATGTAACACCCACTTTTCACTATTTATGTTATGAGTCCCATGTAATAGGGGGTAAAGCCTCTTGCCATATACCGGGCACGATTCTAGACTCCGTGCTACTACTGAAAAACATATTTAAAAACCCAGTAATACTTTGCCCGACCCGGGAACTTTAACTGA